AATAGAGTTATTACCTCATACTTTCTTCTTATTTGTTTATTTGGTGCGGCTTCAAAAGAGATCTATTGAATATTATCCTTATTTTATTTTAGATGTTCGCTGAGCAACTTCAGTTCAGCCAGGAAATAACTGCTGACCAGTTGCTTGGAAATCAGGTAATACCTCTTCCCTCAAAATTCTAGTATATTCTCTTGCTTTATTAAATACGCTCCAAACTGAGCTGTTGATAAATCAAAAGCTTATTTCAGATGCGGTCAAGGAAAAGACCACTTGATGATATGAATCCAAATGGGGAGCCTGCGAAGCGGCTGGATGACAGGAATAAGGAGAATTGTTCTCCAGAAATGGCTATGGTAGGTATTAATAGTCCTCATACATAGTATTTTGTTCGATTTGCTTGCTAATTTTTTATAGGTCCCGCCGATGTACCACAGCACACCGCTAATGGCAGGTCAACGCGACTTCTTCAATCCAAACATGGGGCCGCAGGTAGCGCTTTTTATGATTGATAATCACATCGATTTCTGCAGAACCAGAGAGCTTGAGATCCTTTGAACTCCCTAACTTTGGCTGTTTTCATTCTAGAATTCAGTTTCAGATGCCGTTCTACCCGAACTTCTTTCAACAGCAGTCGACGCTCTCGTTTATGGAACAGAATTCGATGTCTTCTGATAGTGGAGTAGTTTCGGTAAGCAGAAAATTGTAAATGTTTAAATGGATAGATTTTGTCTTTTTCGCCGCGGATGAAGGGGCGTGCCAGTGACCCGCGGCGCTAAAGCCCGCTTCACCATTTGTGGAAGCGGGTGAGAACACTTAGTGAAAACAATAAGTAACTACTGATACTGTTGTCATACCTCGAAAGAAAAAAAAACTCAAGGGGCTGGTGTAAGCTTTACACTTCTATAATTTTGCCACTTGTCCGCTTCAGCAGTTTGTGAAAAGGGGCTGGCGCCGCGCCAAAACCCATCGCACCTCGAGAACGCCCCATCTTCCTAAGGGGGAACAGCTATAACTCAGTTCTTAATTAGGTAATTCAATGGGAATTTTCAGGACGAATCGAGTGCTCCACGATTCCATGTTTGAAAACAACAAGAGGGCCTTAACTATGAGGCCAGGTAACTCATCCTCACTTTTTTAGAAGTTAACAATTAACATATCAATCTTTTACAGAAACTAAGCCAACGACGTCTAATGTGAATCCTCTGGAAGTATTCGATGAAGCTCCGGGAAGACTGTGCCTTTTGAATGCGTCCACAAAGTACAAGGTGGGTCTTGGGGGCCTATTATAAATGGCCGTGTTAAGTCGAATTGTGAAATTGACTCGATTCTTTCAAGCAAGCGATTCAGACGGATTCTGGTAACTTGTTAAAGGAGAGGCGAGCTTGTAGTTTTCACAAAGTCATGGTCTTCACTATTTTGGTGAATTTTTTTTGCAGGTTGCCTTGAGCGAAATCCACCGTCGTATGAGCCACCCAGAAACGCTACATGCCAGCCTCATCAACGGCATTCTCAGGAAGTGGGATACTGTAGCTGATTTGACGGAAAGTTCTTTATAATCTTGTTAATATTTTTAATTTTGTTTGTTTCAGGGCAAAGACAAAGGGACGTTGTAAATGTTACGTTGCAGACTGGCAGAAAGAGGTGTATCCCTACCTTCGCGGCACGAAAGAAAGACTGGCCGCAACGAAACGGTTCTCAGTTCACAAGCACTTGGCGACGAGATGAGTTGCCCATTGCGAGTGCAATGAAAATAGTTGGTAAAATGAAAGAAATTTGTAGGAAAATATAAGGTGTAAGTAACAGTCTTTTCAGGAGAAGCCTCGTAATGGACCTCGTCGATTTTAACACCTCTCTGCATGAATAGCCTGAACACATTTGAAATTGCCAGGCATTTCTAACCGACTTCAGTACACCCCACAGGAATTGGCTATAGTCAGGTAGGAGACCATATTTTCCTCCATCAATACGGCAACTTCAGTGTAAAACCTCATTTTAGACGTTTCTTGGCTGGAATCATGGGCAGTCATATTCGAGACGAAGTTCCAGAAGACCCCGAGGATTATGTGGAGAAGAATTCGGCTACCCACTCCATTAATATATTTAGTATGGTAAGCTCAAAGCTGAACCATTGCTGTGGAAAATATTGGGTCTTCTAGAAGGAATTTAACGTGACGATAAGTGGTGGCAAGTTCGAAAGGTGCTTACAAGGCTCTGTCGACCGATATTTCTGGCTGAGAGGGTCCAGAAGTATTCTCTTATCACATCTTCAGGTCGGGCATTTAGAGGGAGGAAAATAAGGAGCAGGGATCAGACAAGAAGGAAGGAAAAGGAAGATGTTACGATTGTCTTATCACAGACCCAGCGCACCTTTTATCATATTTCAGGAAGAATTTGGAAGCATGAGCGATCCCAATGCCTTGGGAACCCAAGAAGACATGCTTTATGAAAATATGATTGATTTATAATATACAGAACAATGCATAAGAACCTCTTTTAGCTCACCCACGGATTCGGCCATAACGCTCTGAAATCTGCGTGGAGGGTACTGGGAAAAATTGTCGACCAACAACATGCCATGCTTCAGGGGGTAAGTTGCTATTAATACTGAGTTGTACTGAACATTCTCAATCCTCGATCCTTTTAGGTACCCCACCAACCTCCAAACTTCATGCCGTACCACATGCAACAATTTTTATAGAGTAGAATTTAAGTGATGTATATAGTGACTCAACTATTTCATATATGACTTTATTTATGTAATTTTAAACGTCGAATGAGAATCATATGCCTTTATTGTGATTGGACAATATATCGACGACTTTCAATTTGGTCGTATATTCGACACGTTTGTCACCGATGAGACTCATTTGTGCACCCATTTGTTTTATTTGTAACTTATCTGTATAATCTGTATAATTAATAAATGTTAAAATTGAAGGTGCGATTAATCGTAAAAGAATAACTAGGTACAGTTTGGTTTTCTGGGGGAAGGGGGGATTTAGCTGTTTTTTAATCGATTACTGCCGCTGCCTCCAGTTGTGAACTTCTTGTGAAGTTATAGAAGAGGGAAGCTTTGTTTACACTTGGCAAGAGTCCACAGGTCTCAGAAAGTTGTCACCTTTACGTGCTAGCAAGGGGAATAAGGTAATGCAAATGGCTCTCCAAGTCGAAGCACCAGAACCGGTTTCGAATTGCCAAAAAACTCGTTCCCAAAGCCTAACCAGACTGCTAGGATGACAAGAGCAGTGTAGGATAAGTGTGCGGGAAATCCGGAGGAGCGTAACAAGGACTCACGGGCGCGATCCAATTTCGAAATTCAACTTTTTTCTGCTTGCCCGCATCGACCATTTTTGAGGAACCCATCAAGAACCCAAAATTGGAAATACCGGTGCGCAGCCGCCTCAGCGATTTCTTAACGTTCCAAAACAGTCAGAAAATGTGTTTCGAGCTTTCGGCTTATCAAAATCGCGAAGGATTCTTTAATTTAATGCGAGGGCCGGCTGCTCCGCCGGCCAAGCTGAATTTGCCAGCTCATACGCGGCCAGCGGATACGAATTTCACCGTGCGCCGCGCCAGGACGCGAGGCGCGCCGCGCAGAGAGCGGCGAGCGTTTCGCTGTGTCACCAAATGTCGTTTTTCAAGCTGGCGCCTGCGGCGCGAACAATTGTTGATTCGTTTTTCGCAACGAAACTATTTTCCCCCGACATACGAACGATTTATGTCGGCGGCTCACCACCACATAAGCGGCGAGCCTCGTGCGAGATATCTAACCTGGTTCCTGGACGGCGAATGCCTTGACTGCCCCGGTTCGTGAACACCCGACTCGTTGCGCGAATTTTCAGCAAAATTGCCGCGTTTCTATCTTTTCAGACTTCGAACGCGCCGTCCTTGCATTCGTCCCGCGAGAGTAAGAAACGAAAAAACTGCCAATCTCCGACCGCATTAAAAGCAAAAGCCCTGATCAACAAGAAACCCTGTCGTTTGTAAAAAAAATGGGTTTAACACAACGAATCCGCCTGCAGGAAGAAATGCGCTGGAGAAATTGCTTTTAATCATCCGATGGGAACTTCGCAACGCTAGGGCAAATGCAGCCCGCGATATTATTTTGTCCAATGCACCCTCGATCTGACCGTTTCAGTGACGAAAATTAAGGTCTAGATCCCGCACCCATCGACCGAATTCGCCTATACCTGCCGCTTACGAATCTCCATTTTCGACTCAAATAACTTTCTGCTTTGCAGATGTTTCAAGTATACGGCGATCACTCCGCGCCGAAACTTCTGGTATTAAACCCGCGCCGAAGGCGACTTTCGCCTTTCGCTGCATACACGGCGGAAGGTCGCGAGAATGGTGTCCCGCGCGATTGCAATTGCCGCCAAAACGGCGGTGGTTTTGGCGGTCGTCCGTGTTATCGATTCGAACGCCTCGCGGATGTGCGGGCGGGCATTTTTTTTCTCTTTCCGAAAATTTCCGCGTCTTTTAATTCGCGGTGAGAGAGAATTTCGCGTGGCGAATTACTCCCCCCGTGCACGCTTCTCTTAGAGGCTTAGCGTCGGCCGGAGGGCTGCGCAACTGCAAAACGTAATATCGCGGCTCGTCCCTTGGCGCGGTTCTTTCGATACGCCCGACAAAGCCGATTAAACGCTACGGCGCGAGAAATAGCCAGCGCTCACCTGGGTCTATCAGCCAAATAGCCGCGTGTCGGAGACTCGTTCGGAAATCGAAAGTTTTCATTTTTCGCGCCGCGGATACCTATTGATAATGAAATCAAATATCGAACTAATCGCGATAGTCCGACTAGCTATTGCGCCGTCCGATTCGCGGTTATTTATATGACTGATTTTTCGGTCTGTGGCGACGCCATCTATGGACTGAGGTTTAAATCACCCACCTCCGTTTCCCAATTTCGGAAAATATTTAGCGAGCGACTCCCGAAACGGCGAAACGTTAAATGTTTGATTGCGACCGCCCTTAAAAACTTTCCCCGCCGACTCGAACGGAATGCTTCCGAACTCTCGCACCCCGGTTGAGGCGACTTTCGCCTTCGACGCTGCGACAGCTCGTGCTGTTTGTCGAATTCAAGTTTCGCATCTGGGTCGCACCTTCTCTGCAGGTTAAGCTGTTTCGCCCGTTCAAGCCAGAATCAAGCCCGCGCGTTTGCCCTTCGCGGTTGACCAGAACATATTTGACGTGCCGGAAATTCTTCGCCGTTTCCCTCTGCCGCGAAACATTCCGGTTTCGGCGATTTTTCACGCATTCATTTCCGCATCGGCGGCACGGGACGTTTATCGCCTTTCTGGCACCTGTTTCGCATTTACGATTCTCTTGTCCATATACCCCGAAAGAGAAGACATCTGTCCCAACTACGGCTACGAACGCCTAAAAAAGAGGGGAGCTAAAGTTCAGAGCAGTTTCGTCCTGCTCTTGTTCTAGCTCGAATGCCTACTGTGGGATGCCCACGGATTACCGTCGAATAAATTTGCCATGTAACGTTTTGAAAGGCGAAGGTTTAGCCCTGATTGATATCGTCGCAATAAGTCGGGGCGGTGTCAGCAGGGGTGGAGTCGGCCTGCCTTCGGCTGCCTCGCTCTACCAGTGGTGATTCAGTGACCTATTTAGGAAGGAAAGGTTATAACTAAAAATTTTGGAGAGAGTCCTGCTGCGAAAGGCCAGAGCGCAGATGAATGAAGAACTACGGTCGCGAAGGCATCGAGATGCACAAAAAACACGTCGCGAGCCAGGAGATAATTTTTTCAGAGGGAGGGAACCTCAAGGTGGACGAGTCACTTGTTATGCGTGAAAAGTTGGAATGTGAAAGGTCAGAGTGGCACAAAACGCCATGCAGACGTGAGAGCGCAGAGAAAAACAGAAAGTTGGCGCCATTGAAGGGAATGAGTGTTAGTTGTCCCTAGGCCGGAAGGCAACAACCAGTGATGGAAACTCCGCAGTTGGCTCCTACCATTCTCTCGAGACCGTGCTGACTCATTGCGACGATATGAACTGCACTTTACCTTCAAATTTCCTTAGGTGGGAAATCTTTCCCGAACTGAGCAAGTCTGGGCGAAAGGAATGCCAATGACCCAATCCATCTAGTACGTTCAAAAAGACAAGCGAATTTCTGTCCGAGACCATCCAAAGAGCACGTCGTCTAGACATGAGCAGCATTCTGCCATGAAAAAGACGAGGCATGGGACAAATAACTTTATTTATGATTCCAGGCATAGTTCGAGAAATAAATGTCGTGTTCATTTTTCGCTTTTACTGACATGTAATTCAGTTGCTTGCAACGGATTCTGCGATGATGCTTCACAATCCACCACAATAACAATGGAGAGAGAACGGTGTAAAATGGGACAATCTGGAAGAGAAGTATGTACTTTAGGCCTCGTAAATACATGTTGAGTATAAGTAATGATTTTACTGACAGCCGCGAAGTGATCTACACCGAACACAACCCAGTACACTCCAAATCCCGGCGTTGGAGAGGCAGCGAACGCAGCGACGACTGCGCTTCTGTTTGTGTATTGCCATTCTGGGACAACTGTAATCATGTCTTCGTCCAGCATAAGAAAGGATGGCAACTGTCCCAAATGGCGATATCCCACGAAAAACACATCCTCCGCCATATCAAAATGAAGTACGCAGCCACACCCTCTTCGGGATAAGGGCTATCTCAAAACAGAACTTCAAAACTACTAGCGGCCGCGGAAGTAGTTCAGCGCTCTCAGATCTCGTGCGCATACTACTTTCTAGCTAGCTGGCTTGACACCCTGCACCCTTGCCACACTGAAGGTACTGGGTCGTAGTGCGAATGCCGCGCACGTGCCACCCATTTGCCGCGCCTGTTTGCTGCGCGCTCACCCGTCTCGGATGGGCTGAACTGCCTAAAAAAGCTGTGAATAACAGCAGGGGTGAACGTTAAAGGCGACTGACGTTTCTGCTTGTGGTCTAGTAGGGGTGTCCTCCCAGCTGCTACCAAGAGTGCATCGTGAATATCCATCTCCTGACCTTCACCCTTACTAGAAGTGGTATTCTCAACCCCACCGACCCATTGGGAAACTGACTCGTACACGTTCCACTATTGGTCCAAACGACAGATAAGATGGAGTTCCTCTCAAAAATGGGGTTCCTCTGAAAACAGCCCTTCTCCTTTCCATGTGGTCAACCAAGTCCTCCATTCCTATAATATCCTTAAACTTCTAGGGATGGTGGACATAATTAGCTTCGGAGAATTTTGATCCAAAAATTGTTGTTCTTTCACTATAACGGCGGGACCTGTCACTCGTCTACCTTTACCCGATCAACAGATATAACACCAAACAAGGATGGTGCCCAGCCCACTCGTTTTATACAGTCTCTTTTCGTTGTTGCTTTGAGTCTGGATCTTAGAGCGTGGAATGCCCTGACAGCTTACAGTATAGAAAGAGAAGCCCAGTAGCTCAAATGCCTTGGACTGACACGTCTTAAGCGAAGGATGGCTGCAATATTTGAATATTTGACGGAAGTACTCACATAAACGGCAGAGACATAGGCTCTAAATGCTGAATTGGAGGTGAAGAGGGGTCGTATGGAAGGCGCAATAGCGTTTGCTGCCATGAAGCACGAATATATCACAAAATGCAGTAGAACCATTGGCATAAGCAGTCGAAGTACAACAATATTCTCTCTGTTCTGATACTTAGTGCGGAGATCGTACAGAACACTGTAATGAGCGATTTTGAGCTTTGGTTAAGTTTCATCTGTTTCAACCCTTCCTGACTGTCCTGATCATGGAAATGTGTGGTACTAGTAAATTTCTTTTCCAAAGGCAATAACTGCCTTTTTTATGGATGCAGTCAGAGTAACAGTCTATGCAGGTCGTGTAGGCGGAGTTACTCGTATCTTTGCATCTTTCTCATTGCTATTTACTTTCTCCTTCCTCCCAACACTGTGTAAAAAGAAAGAACAAGCCAATGAAAATGGCATAATAGCGGGCCTACTCCGCCCATTCGAGCGCCCTTATGGTGATAGGTTAATGATCGATTCAGGAAGAAAACGACCAGTGGTGGAAACGCTGCAAGTGGGCTCGTTCCATTCCCCTTGAAACCACTCTCCTGCTGACTGTGATGATATCAACTGCATGCAGCCGTCGCCCGCTTCGCGCAGAGCTTTCGCGAAGAAGTCCGACCATCAGACAGGCGATCGTCTAGGTGTTCGTTTGAGGTCTGGTTGATGACCGGTCTCCTCCAGCGGTCATCACCAAACTGCATGATG